GACTAGCAGGCTTATTGCCTTTTTTTCTTTTTTTGGACAGATGTGAAGAAGATTAAGGATTTAAGTATAAATAACTCTTTTGGAAAATCTTCTCTCGTGCACTTTAACTTCTCCAAAAGAGTTATACATATACAGTCTTGCTTTACACATATTTTTTTAGCAAACATATAATAATGCTTCCTATGTGCCAACCAATGGTCTAAGCAATTTTTAAATATTCATTTCACTCCATGAGGTAAGGACGATCATTTATCCTTGTTTGTCAGGTAAGGAAGCTGGGGTATTCACTGGTTGAGCCACAGAGCAAGTCTCTTAAGTACCCTGAATCTCCATTTTTCATTTGTAATATTGGGATACTAATACTCACTCAGATATTGATTTCTAATTACGGACTAAATTTTTTACATCTAATATATTAGAAATTTGTTGGTAATGCTTATAATCAGTAAAACTCTATCACTTATGTTGCCAGTGGGGATAAGAAACAGGCAGATATAAGAAAATTTAAATTTAAAATAAATTTTCAGAAAAGATTATATATTATACAAAACAGAAACATGTATAACATATAATAATGCATGTATGTTAAACATTACAATAACCTCTAAAATACATACAATATCTAAATGAGAATTAAAATATTTTCACCTATTTGATCCATTCAGATTCTAAAATTCCAACATGTGAAAATACTAACACAAAGATCTGAGCACCCTCTAACAGAAACAGTCTCAGCTCTAATAACACTGAAGAGCTTCTGGAAGATAAGATTGACGACAGTTGATCCTATACATACATCTACCTATAGGGTGGCTCATACTTACAAGATTTTAAAATCTACAGCAAGTTCATTATTTAGAATCCACAAGTGTCAGCTTTTATTGGTTGTTCCCAAACTGTAGGTGACCTTGAAAGGAGTTATCAGAAAGAGCCCTGCCATTTCTAGGTGGGAAGCTTTTACTTCCTGATTCTGTAGCCATTATTTCCTCGTCTACATGAACACTGATAACCTAAATTGTGCACTATTCCATTTCATACATATATCATAAATATAGGGGCTTCCCTGGTGGCTCAGTGGTTAAGAATCCGCCTGTCAATGCAGGAGACACGGGTTCGAGCCCTGGTCTGGGAAGATCCCACATGCCGCGGAGCAACTAAGCCCACGCGCACCACTACTGAGCCTGCGCTCTAGAGCCCGCGAGCCACAACTACTGAGCCCACGCACCACAACTACTGAAGCCCACTTGCCTAGAGCTGGAGCTCCGCAACAAGAGAAGCCACCGCAATGAGAAGCCCGCGCACCGCAACGAAGAGTAGCCCCCGCTCGCCTCGACTAGAGAAAGCCTGTGCGCAGCAAGGAAGACCCAATGCAGCCAGAAGTAATAAATAAATAATAAATAAATAAATTTATTAAAATATATATATATATGTCAACAACTGATAAACCAATCAATCATCTGGTTAAATTTTGTGATCACATTATACACGAGCAAAGCTGCTGGGAAAGAGGGTTACTTCAAAGAAAATAATCCTTAGCCCTTTTTAAACATAAAATATGGCAATATGAAGGGTTGTTCATCTTCAGATTCATTGATTTGGGAATGATGTGCAAACAACTTAAGAGCTCGTGTTTCTGTTCTCACTGTCACCACCCTGTGTGTCTTCACACTCCTTGCCTGAGTGACAGCAACAGAGGGCTCCTCAGACCCTACACAACTCCAGTTTCCTGCCACTGTGATCCCTCCAGAGAGATGCCAGAAGGATTTTCCTATGACACTGCTTTCATAATGCTTTTGCCTTGAGTGAAAACAGCCAGTGGTTTCTTAGACTCCATCATATCAAGCCCACAGTCCTTAAGTGATTTTTGAAACCTTTTGTCAAATCTCCTAACTTAAAATATCCAGCCTGCTTTTCAAATGCTCTCTCTCCTAGATGCCTTTTCTTTCCTTTCTGTTTGTCTAAATCGAAACCATCTTTCAAGACCTGACTGCCGTCCTACCTTTTCCACTAAGTTTTATAAACTACCCAAACCAGATGACTATAATCTCTTCCAACCAGGATTCCTACTGGGTTCACGGCCAGGGAAATTGTGTTTAGCCCTTCTCCTGTCTCTAATTGCTTGATGTTTCACTCAAACTGTTTCATACTTAGTTACGTTTTTTCTGTAGTTTACAAGCTCCTGAAACACAGTGACCATATTTTATCAATCATTTGAGCCCTTTCAAACATTTAGAGCACAGAAGGTATTTAAAATGTACACACTGATGAGTAGCATTCTCAACACATGATAGCTCAAAATAAGATTGGAGATGACCCTTGTTTCTCAAAGGAATTAGTAGACCCCAGTAAAGTCGGCCTTTCCAACTTTATTAAATTTCTATTGCAACTTTGCAGTACTATCAAACTCTGGCTCTCGCAATCCAGTCAGAGATCCAAGCCTTGAAAAAGGACTCTTAAAACAAATTTCATCTCCAAATTTACTTTCTTCAAGACCATGCTGGCTTAAAAAAAGGGTTTCCTGTAGATTTAATGTTAAATCAACATAATTAACTGGACCTATGCTCTCCAGGATAGTAGCCACGAGGTACATGTTGCTACCTTAAATGTAATTAAAATACAATAAAATAAAAATCAGTCTTTCAGTCACGCTAGGCACATTTAAAGTGTTCAATAGCCAATGACTATTGCTACTGGACAGCATGCATAACAGAAAAGCCATCATCACATAGAGTTCTATTGGACAGTGCTGAAGCCTATCCGAAGTCTCGTCAAAACTTAATTTGTTGGAGCAGCTTTTTACTTACAGCATAAAATGCTAGGACCAGTACTGTGAGAGGCAAACTAGATGTCCACCTCAGAATACGGTTTGGCGGTACTGGGAAGTCTCACCATCCTATGAAAAACCCAAATAGACTCACTTTGCCAAGATCTGGAATGGCAAATTAGAGCTCCACTCACTTAGTTTAGGCTGAACAGGGACGCTCTGCCTTGTAAAGTGTGAAAAGTTCCGAGGGAAATACCATGTTGATGGGAAAATACCGAAGTCCGGTTTCTGACAGTGGGTTGGGTGGAAAGGAGCATAAAGAATTAGGATGAGCAGAGGCTCCTGACAAGGAAGGAGGGAAGCGTAGTAGAGGAAGGGCCTAGAAAGTGGTGCTACACAGCTGCGACCAGATCCAGTCCCGAGCACATCATCTGAGGGTGGAGTGACTTAGCAAGGGCGGCAAAACTGGGAAAATTCCAGGTGCATGTATACTGAGGTTGCACAAGCATCGCTTGAAGAGTGAATGGCGAATTGGGAGGGTCCTGGAACGCTAAGAAGGCAAATTATATAAAAGAAAAAGGGTTTTGAGACTAAAACTATATAACTGAGTATCTCATTATCCTCCTGTGGCCCAACTTCATTAGCACATGAGCAAGAAGCACAGAGGACAAAACTGGTGTTTTATGTGCTGTGTTCATCCTTCCTCTCCTTCTCAGTGAACAGGGACGTCTGTAAAGCATGACACGGATGCCTTATTGGCTCAGGAACTGGGTCTGAAGGCTTAGCCCCAAAGAGGAATAGGCACGTGATTTTTCAAGGTCACTACTTTGAAGAACATTAATCAGATTTACACACTTAGCACGTTTTCTAAAAAATCCATCTTCCATTTTATGAAGCCATCGTTAATACTCTTAGGATAAATCTATACAGTTGGAGTATCATCTAAAAACCAGGACAACAGTGTCGAGTTTTTTGCTCCTGCTGGTGCCGGGAACAAGTCCTCCCCTCTTGTCCACCCAGCTAGCTGCCAGTTCTGAGGAGAATTCTATACCCTACCATGGCCTGTGACATTAGGCTCAGGGCTTCATTCCCCCCAAACTACTACGGGATCTCTTTCCACTCTCCTTTTCCCCCGCTTTATGTTCATGATTAACAGAAAAACCTTCTTGTGAAGTCATTCAAGTTAGAGATACATCACCAAATGATTTAGGTAAGTGATAACATGAAACGCTTTCCTATCAGAAACAACATAAGATGAGCAAGTTAATCGATTTGTTCATTGTGAATATGACAGAACTGTTCAGTGGCTTATAAAAATGACGACAGAGATGGTTGGACTGTTAAGTGACTGAACAATGCAAACCAAAGAACGCTCATTAGAAGTCACTGTTAACCTGAGAAGAGTTTCATTACATTGGTAGAAAGCTCTGCCCTTGGCCATATACTACTGAAAATATTCTCTACTCCTTGAGATACAGACAAGAGAAATTATTAAGGTTTTAGATGACATAAAAATCAGACAGAAAGATTTTATGATGTCAGTATTTCTCAAGCATGGGATACTCGTTAAAAATACAGACTCTTGGACTTCCTGGGTAGGGGATGGGCATTCAGTTTTTGCTAGTCTTCTGGGTGATACATAGTCTCACTAAATTTGAGGAGATTTAGAAGATTCAAAGTGACAAACAAAGTCCAAGAGACAGAAACACTTTAGGAGAGATAAAGTTTGATCACCCAAATTATACCTTCAAAATAAAGATGAAAATTGTTTTCTTGCTTTCCTATTATATAAATCGGTGGAATTTGAGAGCAGAAAATAGGGCAGCAACCAACTTTCACAGCAGTTCCTAGAAGAAGTGGGGATCTTGCTTGCTTGCAGGTGAAGAATCCTGCACTAGATGAGATGTGGCACCTTTATGATAACTTTTTATCTAAAAGCTAACAAGACATTTTGACCATATGACCACACATTCAGGGTCAAATAGTATTTAGGACTTTGGGTTATAAATATGAGTGATCAAACATGTAATTAATTGATTTTTGCCTTGACTTAAATGTAAAATGGAAAATTGCTTTAGGATTTTACAGGATTTATGGATTTAGGATTTCATAGCTAAAAACGATTCTAGTTTCAGAAAGCCACCTTACGATGATTGAAAGCTTCTCGCGTTAATTTCAACCTTGTCCTCGCTGTGTCCCCTGCTCCCCCACCACCAATCAGTCAGCAGACCCTTACCACAGAAATGGAGTTGGGAAGCAACGCTCCGTCCTGTCCCAGCATATTGGAGACGGTGATTTCAGGTAGGTCCATGTTTTGTGGATGAAACGGTAGCAGGCCATTATGGTTCATTGGGTGACACAGAGAGTGGTAACCAGGTTCGACCTCATTCAGGTGCACCAGCGAGTGGTCGGGGAGGGAAGGAGGAGTGATGGGTGGAATGTTAAAGTCTTCGCTTTCCAGGCTTGGACCAGGGTAGGACTGAAAAGACAATGGTGATATTGATGCAAATTATCATCCCCTTCTTTTCATCATGGTGAACAAACACACATGACCCTTTCAGATATTATTACAAGCATCATTAAGGATTTAGCAAAGACACTGCAAACACTCAGATTATCCTGCTGCAATTTCTCTATCATGCATGGAAGAAAATCGCCTCGAAGGCACAGCTCCTTCTCGTATAAAGAGTGCCACCATTAAGCAGTTTTATTGTTCCAAGAAGCTGAACTCAAACAGATTTCAAAGGTCCCATTAAAACGCTCCAGAGTTGTAATCTAGCTGAATGCCTTTTTTCATGGGAATTGTGGGGAAGGAAAGGCAATTTATAAAATTAATATTTGATCAAACATGTTTCATAGGGCTCCCTACTGCTCAGATCATGAGATGTAATAAAATGAATTCCAGAAGTTCTAAGGCAATTGCTTCTGGGTTTTGAAGAGCTACACGCTCACAACTGACAAAAAAATTTGGTAAAGCAAGTAGCTTAACCATGTTGCATAAGTGTGACTTCAGAGAAAGTGTCATATATGAAGATAATGCCATTAAAAGCTATTTTTATCATGAAGATTATGCCATCAAAATAAAAATGAAGATGGCTTTCTTGATTTCTGACTATTCACGTTTATTTGATCTACCCCTAGAAGGCAGTAAATAATTTTGTAATCATTTAAATGCAGTTCGGCCAGTTTTGAAAGACAAAATTACACAAATATCATTATAATACTAATTTAGGAATAAAAGTCAATCAGTAAAACAACAACATACATGGGGCTTTTTCTTTTAGAAAGTAGCTTTTAGATAAAACAGGAAGGGAGGGAGCAAAGAAGGAAGGCAAGAGTACGTGAGGACACTCCTGCTTACAAATAGAATGTGGTAAACATGGAACTGAAAAATAAAATATTGTTACCAATTCATATCAAAACACAGCAATACTTAGCAGTCTTTAGAGAGCAGGTGCCATAATACGAAGGAAACAGAGCGGGTCCAGATAACTCTTGCAAGCCTATCCTTCAAAGTACGTGAGTCTTCCTAGTGTCTGAGCACAGGGGTAGCAAGGACCCCGCTTGTCTGGCAGCAGCATGCCTGCTGGAGTGTGCGAGATTGGAAATGAGCAGACAGAGGGTAGGAGCCAAAGAAAGGAGTGTAGGGTATTCACAGGGTGTTCAGCCAATCAGCTTCATGCTCCTGCTTCCAAGTGCCTGGGGTTATTTTTTTCCAGATGACATCTATTTGTCTAACAGAAAGAAAACCTTCAAGTTGCATTTGCTAAATGTTGTACAAGTTTTGATATATTTGTTTAGGTTTTGCCAGGAGACACGATTAAATGAAGAGCTACTTGGAACATCTGGCACTGAGACGTGGTCACGTAGAGGCACGTGTGGGTTATAGACTGGGGGCGTATGAAGGGAAGATTTAATTCATCTCTGCAGATAATTTTTCTTAAGTATCTAAAGTTCTGTTAAAAGAAAAAATCACCAGCACTAAAAGTTCAATCGTAAGTTATCAAATTTTCCTGTTTACAGTATCTACCTCCTGTCTGAAAAATATACTAGTGCCCTGTGTCAAAATAGCAAGTTTGGGGCTTCCCTGGTGGCGCAGAGGTTGAGGGTCCGCCTGCCAATGCGGGTGACGCGGGTTCGTGCTCCGGTCCGGGGGGATCCCACGTGCCGCGGAGCTGCTGGGCCCGTGGGCCATGGCCGCTGGGCCTGCGCGTCCGGGGCCTGTGCTCCGCAACGGAAGAGGCCACATAGGTGAGGCCCGCGTACCGCAAAAAAAAAAAAAAAAAAAAAAATAGCAAGTTTGATTAAATTCTCACTTGCCGAATATAATTTAGACCTTTAATCTGTAGACCTAAACCATCAGCCCCTGGTACAAGTATTCACATAAGAAGCATAAAAGACAGAAAATGGTGGGGGTGGGAGGGAGAGGAAGCACACTTATTAATGCTGTGGCTTCGTAGAAAGCGCTGTATTGAGTCCTTTGACTACGCTGTCTTCATTTAGCCCTTTGTCTTCAATAATTCTTTGTGTGGCTATTATTACCCTGTTTTCCTGAACAGAAAGTTGAGAGTTTGAAGTTAAATAACTTTCACTTAGCTGGTAAGCAATCAACTTAGTACATTTGAGGGATGGATATATGAAGGAGGAAGGCGTTTTTATTTCTAACAATTCCATAACTAGTTTAATTGCTATTATTTTATTAAGTTGAATGATACAAAGTTGCCAATACTCAACTGTTTTTGATCAATAAAATTTCACAATTTAAGAATTAGTATTAGCACTAGTATCAGGCTTTTCCTCTTCCCAAGTTCCATCCCAATGCCCATCCCATTAAAATCAAATATTTACCCTACAAGAGCACAAGTATTCATAATTTGTCTTTCTGTCAACATTTCAAAGGCTGAACTTGTTGATACATATCTTTTTTTTTTTTTGCGGTATGCGGGCCTCTCACTGTTGTGGCCTCTCCC